GAGCAGAGAGAGAGAGAGAGAGAGAGAGAGAGAGAGAGAGAGAGAGAGAATAGGAGGGGGTGTTTTGTCATTAGTGGCCCAGTTGTGCTGATGGGCGCTAGTTACAGAAATAATACTCGACTATTTATTTTTCCCTCCCCCATGAAAGAGCCCACATCTGCTGGGTGTTCAGAAGAGTAACCCTTGATTGCTTGCACTACACAAGCACACACACATGCACACATACTGACCCTAGCCTGGTGAGCCACTCTGGTCTGCTGCCTGGGATGGCTGACTCTCAGATGACGAAAGCGCTCCTGTACATCTGAATGAATCACTTGTGAGATTTTTCTTCGAGAGAGCAATGCTGAGCAGCTGGGCATTAGAAGCAAAAAAAAAAGATACAGAGGCCTGTTGATGTTTCTAGTGGCAATAACTTCTGAGCTACACAGTGAAACAAGACCCTGTTTCAAAGAGCTACTGTCTTGCAGTGATCTTTGTCCTACCTTCAGCAAAGTCATCACAAATATGACATGATTTAATATTTAATGTAAGGCTGCTTTACACAGTGAAACTTACATGCAACTAGTTGCATGTTCTGAGTTGCCTGTAACGTCGTTGCAAAGTTGCCTGTGCAACTTGACAGCTACTTAAAGCAATTCAAAAACAATTAATGTTGCACACAACACATACAATTACTCCACTAGTTAGCCAAGATAGTAATTTGTATTTTTTGATATCATTCTCACTATAAAGTCATCTGTGTGGTGTAATTTACATATTTACATTTAAATATAAACATCTATCCAGGGTTCTTTACAATACCTATGACATTTTTTATCTATTAACTGGGTGTATATTAAGTCTTTGAAAATCAGTGTGTAAGTAACTAATTCAATCTGTGTGATCGCACGATGTGTTCTCAATGTTTTGATTGGCATTTTCATTACACATGTTTCATGAAGCCAAGATGATTGCAACTGTTGTGGCTGAGTTTCAAGTGAGTTGTAGGATGCTTTACATTATGCAACTCAAGTGGAATTTGGTTTCATGTAGGTTTCAAGCAACTAAAGGTACATGAAAGTTTCACAGTGTAAAGCTAGCCTAAGAACAGACCACCGCAGAAGAACTATGCTGCTACACTGAATATACTAGGTATACCTACCTTGTACTTTTTTACCTTGGCCATTTGATCAGTTACACCTACCATACAGGTATACTTGTAGGTATACAATTACAGATTGCACTGTTTATCAGCTGGCATCCACCCTGTCTCTGGAAAGGGAATCCCATAGGACCGCCACTGACCAGATATTGATTGGGTGGTGGACTGTTCTCAGCACAGCAGTTACAACAACATGCTAGAGGTGCTGAGGTTTTTAAACACAGTGTACACTTTGTGGCCACTTTATTAGACACATCTACCTTGTCAGTATGCCTTGTAGGTGTTCAGTTAAAGACTTTGGGCCATTTTTTTCTGCACAATTTGTGTTAGTCATCCTCTAGCCTAGTCTTGCAGTGCCAGACATGATCTTGGACAAAGAATCTCTGGATATAACCATGAGAAATTGTGGGCTAAGTGTGGGTGGGAACACAATCCAATGCTTTGTGAAGGCAGAGCTCAAAGTAGGGGCAATGCTGTGCTCCTTCTACACTGTGGATAACTAATGAATAAGTCTGCATGGCTATAAAAGGTCCCACCAAAAAAGTCTAATTAAGCATGTAGATTTGTGTCATGTGTGCAGAGGATAAATTACATGCAGTACAAATAAACATTATGTATGTATTATGCAAGGGAAAAACAGTTGAGGTAGCCAAAGTGTTTCGCTGGTTAGCTTCTTTTTCTTAGTTTACGGGTTCTATACTGGATGTTAGGACTCAAGGGGGCAGATTTTAGTGGGAGAGTACCCTTGTTTGCACCAAAAGTTCAACAACTTGTCCTCAAATGTGCGTTCTTGTTACATCTCGTCTTGCCCCTTGAGACTACTTCTAGCCCTGAGGTAACAAATCTTTTCCACAAAGGATGGTGTGGCTGAGGTGTGTAAGAACCCCAGCCAAGCTGACGTGTGTGGTATACTTGTATCAGCAACACAAATCACCCAAATATGGGTAGGAGGGTCCTATTGGGATCCTTTCCATTGATGAATGAGGTAGAGGGCTGCTGATGATCTGTGCAGCAATAGATTGGCCACAGATAAAAACTATACCTCAAAGTGCACCTATATGCTGGATTGCGTAGTAATGGAATATATGTAATGGTGGTACTTAATCAGGATAAAAAACATAAAATTCAAACATAAAAAAATATCTACAGAAAAAGACAGTACTCAGGTAACAGGTAGACTACAAAATATTCAAATTGCATACACACAATCTTATCGCCTTTGGGCAAAATTTACTGTTTGAATGATAAGTAAGTCCTGATTAATAGATTTAAGGAATTTTTAATTTGAGAAAGAAGTGAAGGGGAGGTGGTTCTGGCAACTCAGTGTAAGTACAAATGAATAGAAGCAAAACATAAGAGCTCATTAGCTCTATACAGAACAGATACAGGGCCTTTAGGTCAGAGTGGTGAGGTTAGACTCACAATAAGGCTGAATGTCGCAGTACTGCTGAACGAAAGCCAACTCTGTGAGCCACAGACAGAACCTGCATATCAGCTCCTGCCAGGTGACAAGCCAGAAGCGGGCAAAACTTTCTGGTACTTTCCGCTTGATCTATAGCAACGAGATGGAGCCTGACCGATGCAGAATCTGCTGCTGTAAAGTCCATTTGCGGCGAGCACTGGGGATATACGGCCCTTCAGGGGCAAGTGACACTTGGTTGAAGGCTTGTCATTCATCATTTTGGCAAGCCCAGCTGAGACCGGCCCAAATTGAGCATGCCTCAGAGGCAGAAGCCAGGCACTGAAACAAGTCACTGTCGTCGGATATTTGCAAGTGCTGTCAACAAACATCGGCAGTTCATTCTGGGTCACTGCAGAAAAAAAGAACTCAACAGCAGGTGAGAATAATGCTTGGATACAGCCACTTGCAGTAATCACGGCATGTACACAGTTTCATCAGACCCTTAGGCATTTGGTTTGTTGTCAGAACTAGTGTCATTTGCATCTACCATCCTGCAGCAACCTACTGAAGGACTGGCACAGTCCCAGTAAAAGGGCCGAGAGGGGTGTGGGGAAATAAACAAACAAAAACCAGCACAATTAACAGTTATATTCATATTGGCCAAATGGTCATCAAAGAACAAACACTTCCACTGCAGGTTTGCCTGGTGAAACATCTCAAAGTTGATCTCTGAGAGCTTATATTTACTAAGTTAATTTACTTGCCCTCAAAACAGTTACCAAAAGCATGCTTTCTGGGTTCACAGAGAAATAAACAGATGTGGGTGCCTGCACAAAATTCCTTCCTCATGCACTTACACTGCAACTCTTGTAGACCCAATCTGGCTATAGAAGTCAGAGAGGTAAGCAAGGTTAGCGTTTATAGTAGAGTATATTTCAGCTCGTAATCCACTGACTGGCTGTGAATCGATTGCACAAGAAAAGCATCTACCAGGATAAAGAAAAGTGGGTATAGAGAGGAAAGAAAGAAGTGTTGATTAATTGAGACCAGCAGTTTACATTCATCTCTCTGTTTCCTGGGGTTGAGCTTGGTAGTTTCCTAACATCCACACTTAAACTCTCTCTCATTGCCTTTGCCTTGTTCTCAGTCTCTCTCTCACTTCTTGCGTTCTGTATCACTGGCTACATCTCTTTCTCTCTCTTTCTCTTTCTCTATCTCAGGGGTACATATGCCTAATTAACTGTCAAATATGGCCATTTATGTTTCTATACTTTATGAAGAAATGAATATTAAGCACTTCCCCAAGCATCTGCAATAGAACATAAAAGAAAAAGAAGCCACAGAAATGGAGGACTTCTATGGTCTAGCCTGAAATGCCACTACCCTGGTGAAAGTGCATCACAGGGACTAGAATGTCTTTATATACTACGTGTATATGAATGCAGGGCTGGATGAGCCTGGGAAAACGCAGTGCTTTCATGTTCTTCCCAATATATTTCATGAAGTTGAGCTTATTTTCCAGAGTAACTGCTGGCTGATCTCACGGCGGGGATGCGAAGTGGAGCTGCCACTCATCCAAGATCCCCCCATTTTGCCTTCAGGCTGCGTGTCATCCCTCAGCACTTTCAACTGCGCTGACATCTAAACTGAAGGCGCATTAATTCACGTTACGTCATTGCCGAAGCGCTCTGAAGTGCACTTAAACCTACGTTTAGAAGGATATATTTCCTTGCTGTCCATTCTTTTTTCATGATCTTTTTCTTCCCATTCCTTTATCCAAATGAAGCGTTATCGGGCATTTTCCCCACAAAGCTGCCTCCCCCTCGGCCTTCTCCGATGTGCAACGACCATGACAAATTCATTTTCAAAAGGTGGAAGCCATAATGGTCCATTTTCATTCTTTTTATAGTCCAGCCTTTGACCAATTGCTGCTTGGCAAAGCTATTCCCATGAGGCTGCAGTGATCCAAGCCTGGTTAGCTTCTCTAAAGCCTGTCATTCATGCTCAGTGGCTCAACTCACCCTCGCTGCCACTCATACACCTGCAAACTAGCATTCAAGTGCAAGAGCATAAAAGGCCCATTGTCTCTACAAAGGTGGCAATCTCAAGTGTAATGCAGGTGATCAAACACACCCCATCTTTCCCCGCTGGGTCTCTGCTGTTTGCCATGCACAGCACATCACACACCATGTGGCAGCGGACAATGCCAGGACGCCAGCAATATGGCCAAAACACACTCAGCCGCCAACATGGCCGGGGCGTCACACATACATACAAACTACGTTTTTTACCATATGGGACCACAGATAGGATCATTATGAATGTCAATCATTTACGTGATGCATTTGGCAGAAGCAAAGGACAAACTGGACCCCCGTGGTGCATAATGAGGATAGCACAGATTCCGTGAGTCAGGTATCAGCAACCTGCATGAAGAAATCTCAGCATTCTTACCTAATTGTAACTCCATGATGCTCATTTTGTTTTCGGCAGGAAAGAGGATCTTTGGAGGCTTGTCGGTCAAAGGGGCTGTAAAAGAGAAAAACACACACACACACACACACACACACAAATAACATTAATTCCGTGTCAACACTCAACAAAACAACCCACCTTTAGTCACGGTGGAGAGTAAAATTACCCAGGCCCAATCCACTGAAGAGGGATGAAAATACAGACATGGTAAAATAGGCACCAAGGGAAAGGCATAAATAAGACTCACACTCTCTAAGGCTCAGAATGTAATGGGCTTTTCCAAACTTGGCCTGACAACCATTTCAACTCGACTAATGGCTTCAGTACCTTCGGGGACACACCACGTCAGTGATTAAGGAAAGGGATGTGCCACCGAACCAATGCGGATTAAGGTCAGATACTGTGTAGCGCATGCTGACTGCAAACTAGCATCACGCTATAATATAAACCCAGGAGAATGTTTATTCTTATTTATAGAGGCTCGGAAGAGCAGAGAGCCAACTAAAGCTTTCTCAGCTGGGAGGCTGCGGGAGAAAAGTCTCCCTCCAGATGCTGGCTAGTTCAAACGTTTGATAAAGATGGAGAAGAATGGTTTTAAATAATATATTCCTGTACCTATTGCTACTGTTATTTGGACAGACAGATCAAGGCAGTGAAAGAAGGGTAAGAGGGAGGTAGAGGGAGGCAAATGTATCTTAGCACATTATGACCTGTCACCATGAGGCAAATTTCACAAGCACTGGGTGTCAGAAATGCTCCAATTTACTGGCGTGGTCTCGGGCTAATAGTGTGAGTTTGCATGGAGCAGAGCCAAAGTCTAAAGTACCGATGCCAGAGACACTCAAGTTGTCACTTCACATATTCTACTGCAACTGAGAAGACTTAGTAAGTACTGAACAAATCCCTTATGTTTTTGTGTTGTATAAAAATGAACAGAATTAATCAAAGTCAAACTGAAATTAAAACGGATCTTTTCTTTCTTTATTAGTTCATGTCCATGGTCACATTAAGCACTATTCATTGCATCACAACATTCAAAAGACAAAATTCCTGTTTCTCCATAATCTTTGAACAAAGAGTAGTGATTTTCAGTGATGTGACCTCAAGTCATACGATTTGGACTCAAGCCCAAATTTGATGACTTGAGACTCAACTGGACAAAATCGAGAAACACTTGTGACTCAACTTTGACTCGAACACCAATGACCCACACTTTGACTCAGACTTGAGCCTCATCACTTGGAAAGACTCGAGACCCAAAGTGGAAGCAACATGGAGAGGTGTCCGACTGAAGACGGGACTCTACACAGTCGCTTCACGTGAATGGATTTGTTTCCTGCCATAATTTTGATATACAGCTGCACTGTCAAATGTCTGTGCTCATGCTCGGCTTATTTTATTTCAGAAAACAAGTGAAGCATTAGAGTTCAAGCTCTCTTTGATTTGATTTTTTTTATTCTCCAGCTTCAAATTTGAATTTGCCATTCCACCTTAAATGGTGCAGCAGTTAGGTGCTGGAATCAAATAAAAAGCTTGTGAATGAAGTCAATTTTAGCTTCATCATTTTGCTGTCTTTTCTGTAAATTGTGTTAAACTAAGTTTTAGTGATAAACTAATTTTTATTTTAATCCTATGTACCCAATATTCCCAAAAATCATCAAAAATAATTACCTTCAATTTTTTTTTATTACGTTTTATAGTACAAAGCTTTTTCATATCTAGTTGCATTTTGTCTATGCTATTGTCTGTGTACCACGGATTTTGTATTATATTTGGAAGTAGGGGTGGGAATCTCTAGGCACCTCACAATTCGATTCGATTATGATTCAGCTGCGATGCGATTATAAAACGATTATCAATGCATCTTGATGCATCTTTTTTTCTATACAGGATTTCTATTTTCTCACTGTGACAGGACTTGGTACTTTTAAAACAAAGTATTTGTAATGATCCATAATGAATTTACTTCTAATATCTTTTATTAATAAATCAAATGGAAGTGATGCGGTAAGTGAACTGGAAGGCTCTAATTCACTGCTATTGTTTGGAGCACATGAGACACTGCTGCCACTCATCAGCGATAAAATGCGCTGTTAGGGTGACATAAGATCCAGTGGTAATGGATGTCCACGCAACACTTGTTACAGCCGTCCTACCCGTTCTCTTGAGTGATTTTACAAGTTCGGTTTTGGTCTCGTTCGTTGTAGAGACGGGAGGAGGGGTCCGCTGTGTCAGTAAAATATCTTTGAAACGGGACACGTGCAGCATAGCGCGAAAGCTCTGTTTCGCAACGACTGAGAATTGGCATGCAGACTGCAGGTCACCTAGCAACAATGCGTTATTCGCATTTATAAGCAGCGCAGTTGATTCCTGGTAAGTTAAATCTGCAACGAGAGACTGTCAAACACAAAAGTTTTGAAGATGAAGTCGCTTCTCTTTCAAATTGTCCTGTTCCACCTTAAATGGTGCCGCATTTACATTCGGCGCCTCAGTCAGAATTTAAGGTGGAACGGGAAAATTCGAACAAGAAGCTGGAGAATGAGAAGCGACTTCAGCCTCGGAAAACAGTTAAACGTTGAAAGACATTTTGCAAGAAACTGATCTACTTCTGAAGAAAAGTTTTCTGGCGGAAATTGGAGGAAAGCGTCTATAGCTAAAGCTTAAAGCAGAACAGAGCAAGTCTGCGTTTTTGTTTATAATTTTTAACCTAACTTATACTAGGACATTCGCACATACTGAGACATATTGGACATAAATGTTGTGGCTGCCAAGGAGGTCTGATTTTTGTTGAAAGGACAAAATGGCTCTTCTGGGTTGTGACTCCTGATCTAACCTAGCTTTTAATGCAGAGGGAGCCGGTCGGATTTCTCGCTCATCCATGTGTGTTTCTGTTATGTGCCGCCACAGACTGTCCGGGCGCTGCACTTACCCACTTCCGTGTTCCACCTTTTGCGTTTCGTCAACATTACGTTATAAATTAAATATTTAGAAAATCGATTTTTGACATTTGTAAATCGATTCAGAATCGTTCACGTCCGCATCGCGATGCATCTAAGAATCGTTTTTTCCCGCACCCCTATTTGGGAGGTGACAAAATAGAACACAGTTACACACTACTAACATGCTCCCACTGAAAGGCTATATCACTGTTACCATCAGTGTTGAAATGGCCCTACTAATTGATTAATTGCCTGTACTGACTCAGGACTTGAATTGAGACTCGACTGTCTTGACCTGGGACTTGACTCGGGACTCGAGAGCCAAGACTTAAGACTTAATTCTTACTTGCAACTTAGTGACTTGTTCCTACCTCTGGTGATTTCTGCCCGCCTCTAAATGGCGTCTGATATTTGACTGCGTCAATGTATTCCAGCTGGTGGGAAAATAAAACTGGCCAATAATGTCTTACCATCACCCCATTACCCTGACCACTTATCAAACGAGAACACCTATCCCCTCTGCTGCCAGCTGCACATACATGTGTGCTGGCAGACAACCTCCTTTCTTCTCCTCACTTTACTTTCTCACTGTCTGTATTTGGACTGGTTGTAAAATAATCGCTTATGAGTTATTTCAGCTCGCTTACGCTTATCCATGTTCGTGTTAACAGGAGTGAGGTATTTTTCTCTTGCTGTAAGCAAAGTGTAAGCAAAGCAGGTGCTAACAGGCTATCCTGCTGACTGGTGTTTCACCACGTCTTAAAAAATTAAAACAAACAACCAAAAAAAATAATAAAATTCAGCTTTCAATAATTAATGAATCATGATTCAGAAACTATAGAAAATACACATCAAAATATTGTAGTACTTAATTTTCTGACAAAATCTTTTTTTGTTTTTTTTTCCTTTGGCTTTTCTGTAAAACAGACAGATCCTGCTGACCATCAGAGACTGACTGTACATTTGTTCTGGAACACCTACTTTTGAGGATCCATTCAAATCCTGAAGAACAAAATTCATGTCCCGTCCACTATTGTAACCCCCCCCTCCCCCAGAATAGCCTTTTTCCCCTTGAAAATATCTTATGTTCAGAATGAAAAATGGATTCTGATTTCACATTACTTTAATACAAATTAATATACTCTGCTTTCTATCTATGTTAGCTGAAATACACACATACATACATGGATAGCCTATTTGGAATGGGCTCTTTTAACCTTTATGTATCTCAACAAACCTGTCAATATCCTCTACAGCCCAATGTTCCCCACTGTTGCATCACCTGATCAATCTGCTGTGTGTTATTTTTTCACCCCACCCACACTGTATTAGGAATGGCTATTAGATTTTGGCCCTACTGTAAAAAGAATGGCTGGCAGAATTAGGCCTCCTGTGCTAAGACTGGCCAGTACTCACAAGCAGCTTGTTAGAATATGTGCAGGGAATAAGAAAGAAAGAAAAACATTTCTAAGCTTCTCTCCAGCTTGTGCTGACATTCATAATTTATCACGCAGTGCTGTGGTAATAGAAAAAAAAAAATGCTCATTATCTCAACTGTACGCTGCAAGTCTAGATACAGCTGCATCAGTGTATCGTGGGAGGTGGCCTGAGAAACATCAAGAGTGCATGAACAAGCTGTCATTTGTATCAAATAATAAGAACAATTTACCAAAAAAAAATCACCATACATTGACTTATACTTAATTGCATTATATCTCTCTACTATAATTATGTACATTGAAAAAACAATATGTTTTCATTTGTAGCAAATTCAAGCCCACATTAACACCCAAGGTGTCTGCTGTGTGTCTGCTTTAACATATGAGCGCATTTATTCCGAATCAGGCAACATTAACTGAGATAGAGCCTTTCTAATTTATAGCTCAATTCTCCCGAACGATCTCAGCCGAAACGTCATTAGCTTTCACACATGCAACCTTTTCCATAAATGTGACAGCACTTTTCCATTTAGAGGTCATCATGTGTGAACAGGATGACTTTTGTATGGTTTTTCCAAATGCCAGCAGATCATCTGTGGCGGTTCAATGGTTTGGTAATCAGGTCACATTACAATAGACGTAATTCAATCCTCATGGATTATAATCACAGAAGAAA